ATTACTAAAGATTCCCCGGATATATCTGACATTGCCTTGTCCAAGTTTATGGATTGTTGCAAATGACATGCATTGTAACACTAGTAAATGTAAGGAGCTAATTATGCGCAAGAGAGACAATTCAACTGTCTACCCAATGTCTCACAATATCAAACAATATAATAACATTTCTTTATTAGGCGTCACAATTCAAGGTAATTGTAAGTTTGGCTTGCATGTCAAGACCAAGCTCCATGAAGCCAACAAGTGTTTATTTGTCATGAGAAGCCTAAGTAAAGAAGGATATACACAAGATGAAATAGACCACCTCTTTAATTCAATTGTGATCCCTAAGAACGGCTTGGAAACTAAAATTTGATAGCATTTTGTTTTGAATGAGGGTATGGGCATGATTTTCAGTTGAACATGCCTAGAGAGCGTAAAAATTGCATTCAGTCTGAGGATTAATGAGAGAGGGAAAATTTTATATATTTAGGCATGACAAAATTCAAGGGAACATTGGTACTTAGAAATTACATGTCATAGGCATGGAAAAAATGTGTTCATGCCCTCGCAGCCCAAAATTGACTTAGCTAAACTTAGGTCCCAGATCTCTCGCCGGGTTGATAATTCATTCCCAGTTTTTGCTCGTCTGCTTTGGCATGCCGGGCATGAAATTGGCATGCCCAGCGTGACTGATTTTGATGTTCGCTCCAGCATCATATCCTGAGAATCACATAATCGCCAAATATATGCTAGGGAGCTTGAAGCTACAGGTTTCATGCCTGGCAATAAATGCAGATTATAACCAAAAAAAGTTATGTTTGTCACAATGTATGTCACGGGATCGACTGGCAAAACTGAAGACAGAAGCCTGGATTTATAAATAAAAAGCACAACAAAACAACATTATTCATGCATAAAATAGAATACTTCACTTGCAATTACAGATCAATTAATCCTTTTATTTCAAAGCGATACTGATATTTCTGGGTCCAGATTTAAATTTGATCGCGGAAAAGCGTTTTAAACAATAAGATAACAAATCTTCTCCGTCAGTATATGTCTCTCGGTCAACAGCGTTAAAAGACTGGTGAAAATTAAGCTTACCAGGACGTTCAAGTCAGTACGAGAGTACGACGTTAATACTGCAAAGACGTTCTGATTTGGTGAGTTTGGACTGCCTTCTCAGAGAGATTTTGCTTAGGTTTTCAGTGCGCTTCTTGTCGGCTATGCGAATTTTGCAAACTGTTTTACTCCTTGCTGACGATAGTCCTTTCAGCAACGTCATCTGCTCCATCCGAAGATACCCCGAGCTCGCACGAAATCGGCCGAATTTCCGCAGAAGTGTTTTCGGATGACGATGAATTTAGTTTGTTGTAGCGTGGCAGTTGTGGCGTCACGATGTCGTCATGTCTCTTCGCACTTGTTTGTCTTTTTTTTTTCCTGCGGTGCATGGTTAAGATGTTGGTGAATGCTGGACAAGAAATGGATTCTGCGAGAGACTGTAAGTACAAATTTAGTATTAATTTGGTAAAGAAAAAGCCTGAATATCGAAAAAATCCCGTGAATTATCCTTTTCGCATTCAGTTTATCTTGCTGTTCAGCATGCCTAAGAACTCTCAGGCATAAGTGGTTTTCAACTCGTTCACTTCGGATTGTTTCTGCTTCTACGTCTTGTAATCTTCTTCTGCTGTTAAGAAGACTAGAGGAAACTTCAAAAATATAGAAACCAATCACTTTTGGAGACAAAATAAAATATCCGTAAATCAAATGCCAAAATCAGATTTGGATTTCGCTTTAAAAAAATGAACATGCTGCAGGTGTCAATGCAAAGTTGTAAACAACTCAATAAGCAGTCTGTGAATGTGCGTTTAGGTCCACAAAACTAATTTTTCTTTTGGATGTCTTATGCAAGCAACCACTTATGCCTTACATTGCTTGTCTACGAGTGTACTACAAAATGCTTTACTACAGTAAGCCTTTGAGAGGCGATTCTGGTAAATTTATACGACGCTAAAATGCAAAAAATTCTAAGCTTAAATAACCTGGCTGGGTCCGATTTCTGAATTACAAAATGTTCACGTTTGTCGGCTCTTCTTTAAATAAACATAGTTTTTGAAATGACTTTGTACTATTTTAACCCGAAAATTATGATTGGGTTATAAAGCTTTTAAAACGGACGAAAACTAAGCTAATAAACATGTTCAACGTAAAAAACTAAGATTTAGTCGCTTTTTCAACTTGGCTACCTTTACGCATAAACAAAAGCAAGCAATGAGGCTTTTATTCGACATATTTTCTGAGAATTTTATCTGATCAATTTAATGTCTCTAGCATTATTTTCGTATAGGAATTTTCCTAATTATTTGAGCTTTTAATTTAATAATTTTGATACTTTATAAACTTCTCATTTGATAGCTTCACTTTTTTATACACCGATTAAGAAACAAATTCGCTCTCGTTAAATCCTATTTTATGACCTATTTATTAGAACTCTAGGTAACATGCAAATGATGTAACAGGACAGGCTTTAACCTTTGGTCCTAATGTATTTTTTCTTCACAACCCCCAGTAATCAGTTGACGGGCCATGAGAGAATATCGCCACAAAGATGCGAAAAAGTTTTCGATGAGTTTCCTTTACATATTCCTGCTTTATATGGGTCTACACCTTCCGTGCTTAAAAATGAAACTGTTGTTCGAGTGTCAGTCAAACTCGGGATAACCTTGACTTGCAAACCCAAATGCAAAGGTTTATTTCGCAGTAGAAGAGCATGTAAACATCATCGAACAGCGCAATTGTAAATTGGCTAATGTGAAACCACGTTTCTTTCACTTTATTTGCCATGTATTTATCTCAATTGCACACCTTGTGAAATTAGCCTCAGATAATTAGTTGCGACCTTTAACAGACTCATCAAGCCAGTATGAAAATATCTTAAGAGAAGCTGAGCTCTACACGTTCTATTTCATTTTTTCATATTGCCCTTGCATGTGTTAACATTCCATTTCTTTTTTGTTACAGGTAACTTCCAGACATGACGAGGAGATAATTACTTTTCTACAGAGCAATTCTTTGATACTGTCAGTTATTACTGACTTATTTTGAGTTAAAAACAAAGAACACAGACTCTGGTAATGACACATAAACAATAATCCCTGGCAAGCCTACAAAACAAGAAAGAGGAACTCAGACTCCTTATCAAAATATGAAACAAGACAAAAACAGCTTTTCTAACGTACGGAAAATTGCGTTAGAGAGATTTGTAATTGCAACGTTATATTCAAGCACATTGCATTGTCGAACATCATAATTTACTGAATAATGGACAGTGATTTTGGAGCTTAGCTCAGTTTGTAATGTAATGAATGTTGAAAGATATTCTATAACCTTGTATTTTTAAAAGCTTTCATGGAACATAGATGCATTTTATTATGCAAAGAAAATAGTCTCTGTCTCTATTTTAAATGATTTCAGTCAATTCCATTTTATTCGCAATGTGAAATGGGAATCCTATTAAAGACTCATTAAAAGGGGTGAGGCCGTTTTTACAATCCCCCAAAAGGTCATCTCCACGATGACGCTGTTTTATTACTACGGCAGAATCCCTCAGGGTTTTACTTTCTTGTGAAAATTAGAGCTTTTGTTATTTAAACTTCGCTGGGACAACCAAATCTATAAAAATGAGAGGAATAGCAATGACGTCATCGTGTAAATGACCTATAAACCGTACATCAAACGATAAGTACTGTGATCTGTTTAGTTTTTTTTTTTTTTAGCCAGGCTTAAAATATCTGTAGATTCAAGGAATTATAACCTGTGCGTTGAGAGCACGCCAGAGACCGATTTTGGCATGCCCGGCATGACCCAGATTATGGCATGCCCGGCATGCCGGAGATTTTTCTGGGTATGAATTACTTATTACTAGAACCTAGGCTTCTCGCGGCCTGGGTGAGAAGGTCACGGAACCTCAAATTATGCTTACAGAGCATGCGAAATTCTGTTGCATGCCAATTTCAATGCAAAACCACTCTGGGGCCACCCCCTCTATTACCAGTGAGCAAATCATTGACGATAGGCATGGGAAAAATCCTTGCATGCTAACCAACATTGACAACGTGGCAGAAATGTCCTCAATTGCTGAGTCATGCCCTAGGGGAGGCTTTAAAATACAGAATTTCCTGACATGAATGAGGGAATTTTCCGTAAACAGCATGTGATCATGCCGGCTAGGACGTATTGCCTCCGTAATGCCCCTTTTTACAGCTAGCTAGGCTCATTTTTAGGTTCCATGGCCTGAAATGACGAAAAATTCATGCCCTAAATGTAAAAAGTCCAAAAACGTCCTCGAAATTTTAGTTTCCAAGCCGTTCTAAGTTATTATACGGTCTTTCAGTTTATGCTGCAAGTGTTTCCGAACTTACTGTTATACAAAGGTTTTTAAAAAGATGCTATAAGAGGCGTTATACGTCGGTCAATTACAACATATATGAACTTTTGGAGAAAAGCGACAGACGCCTTTTTTATAACCTCAAACGCGATGACCATCCATTAAAAAGCTTGCTCCCAAGGTACAAAGACTGTATTGCAAACCTTCGAAGGAAATCCATTGTCAGGCCCAGCATTAACACTGAACGTTTCAAAGATAGCTTTTTTAATAGATTAATTTTTAAATATAATCTAGCTGTGTAAATACCCCATATGTATTTTTAATCAATTTAATCTTTTTTATTCGTCTTAATCATTGTAATTTTTTTTTTTCTATCAATATATATTTTTACTGTAACATCAGATATGTAATTTTATCGGATGCTTTTTAATAAAGACGTTATTATTATTATTAAATTGCATATGTTGTAGTTCAATTTCATGGTGCTTGGTTGAAGGTTTAATGTCCCAGTTTGTTTTGGGGAATATTTTTCAAATATTGTACGACTTGACTTATTGCTTTGTGGAAGTTTTCTTTTTGTGCAGTGTCCATAACACGAAGGTCCAGCCGGTCGAATAAACAACCGTCCTTAACTTTCCACTGTACAGGCGGCCAATGACTCAGCTAGTCTGTGTAGGTAAATGGGTGGATGTTATTGATAAGGTTAATATAACTCAAAAAACTTTAACAAGCATGTGTAGTGTATATATACGGCGGAATAAAACATGGCTTCTGTCATATCAAAAACTATTTTTAAAAAAAAACAATCACATTGCTGACAGTACTGTGGCCAGTGCGAGGATTTGAGTACCCCAACACCGAGTATGCATTGGAAACAATAGTAAATGCAAGTCGGGACTTTTAGCAAAATACAGTTTTTGAGATTTGATTGTCAACCTTCTGTAAATAATACTAAACACTTATTGAATCTGATGAAGGTAGCCGAGAAAAAATGTTTTAACAGTCCATGATGTAACTTCAGGGTCCTTCTTTTCACATATACCCAAGACCTCTCCTGAGTTGCGTATAAACAACAACAACAAACATAAAAGGATAAGTACGGCATTGTCAAAAGAGAATAAAAACGTTATATCTTGTGACCAACTACAATAACTTAACAATTAGTTTCTGCAGTGGTGTAAATATGTGAAACAACTTGACATTAACATTGTTTTCTAAAGTCGAGTCCTGAACTGGATTTTAAGATACACTCAGTCACCCTCATAGCAAGCTTTTTTACCTTAGTCCCTCTCTTCCAAAAATCTTGTCACAAGGCCAAGTCGTTTGTCGGAATTTTCCCCAACAGGGCCTCTCAAATGGCAAGATGCATTTTGTTCAGTTCTTTACACTGTTATTGGAGGGCTTGTCATTTCTGTCTACAAAATTCACTTATAAAAGTGTTTTCTGTATTAGATTTTCTTAATAACGTTTACCTCTATTTAAGAGGTGTTCTTTAAAGTCTTTTATTCCCTCTCGGGTGGTGGGGACGGCGGCATGATAATTTGTGGAAACTATTTTGGGGGTCAGCCTTTTTTTTCTGCACCTGAAAAGGGAGGACCAGCCAAAAAACATACGCATCAAAATAATGCAACAGTCCTCCCCTCCTCTAATTTATGACCGGTCCGTTAAGCAATACAGACTAACACTTTTTGCTCTTCCCGATGTCTTCGTCCAAGATCGAGACGGTAGCAAAGCAACTTAAGTCCGTTACCTTTTTCAAACTATTAATAGCAGTTTAAATGACGTGCAGCTAGTGCTGGCAATAGAGAGCTTGGTGGGCTTTTTGATGAGAAGGTTTTTGGGCCTCGAATTGAAATAAAAAGATGATTTTCTGCTTTTAACTCAATACAGATGGTCCATGTCGGCCATAATGCTTATTACTGGCTTGGCTCACCTCTTTTGTTCTGTGTTTCTGCCAATCTTGAGATCAACTTCTTGGCGTATGGCATTTTCTGTAATTTTAGAGGAAGTTGAACCTACACGTTAAAACAAAAATTAAGGCTATGGAAAGTAGAAAAGGGGTTTCCGGGGAGTCCGCACTTGCCTCACCTATTGAGCTTTATTTCGCGGCGTGGCTTGTAATTAATTACTATACCACGTTTACATTGCCTCACTTTATAAAGCCTTTTCTAGATATAGAGGTCAGGGAAGGAATGCAGTTGGTACCTGAAAATTAATATTTGCAAGTGGCAAGAAAAAACATGAGGATGATGAAAGAGACCAACTTTAAGGACAATATTAATGTTACATGTAACTAAAGCTTATCAAGACTTTTCTTACCATAGTGCCGAATATAACGGCATCAAGTCCTCACAACGTTTTACCTTTAACAGTAGACTGAGACGTAGTTGCTGATTCGTTTTCCATCTCAAAGTCATAATACGTCATCAAGGAAAAAATTCCTTCCTCAAGATCTTCAGGAAGAAAGAAAATGAACAATTTAATTCGTAATCACTTCAGTTTATTAAAAAAAAAATGAAAAAAGGGCAAATATTACAGTGTAACGCCTTCAACCGGGGACACCTAAGGACTTTCAGGCAATCAAAAACCGCTCCTTAAACAAAGAATAGGGCGTGCAGACCTCATCGGGAACTCGATTGGTTAGTTTCCATCCTAAATTTTTCGCGGTTTAGAACGGTGTGTCGTATACACTTAGGGACTGATCGTAAAGTACAAGTTGGGGTCGGCTGAAAAAATGCTGGGGGTGGGTCACTGTCTTCATGCATGCAAAAAGGGTTGAGCTTAGGAAAAGCTGGCATCCTTACAGGGAGGGGCATTTATGATATTTGCACTCGCTGTGCATCAAAAGGTGTCTTAAGAAAATATCGAAGTAAAACTGGGAAATTATTTTTAAAAGTAAATCGTAATTGTCTAGTTTAAGAAAATATGCATCAGGGGCATCCAACTTTCTCGACTTACGGACTTTCACCTTAAAAAAGGCAACGCACGTTAACAAGTAAAAATTTAAATTTGATCACGAGGAAAAAAGAAAACAAGATTCTTGGTCTCTGATTGGCTCACGCTAGGAGTGAGCCATTCTAAAAGGCGAAATTTAGGATTGAAACTAACCAATCGAAGAATAGGACAGTTCTTGTTGAGGTCCGCACGCCCAATTCTTTGTTAAAGGAGCGGTTTTTGATTGACTGAAAGTCCCTAGGTGGCCCCGGTTGAAGTCGTCACAATGTAATGAAAAGAGGAAGCAGAAAAAAAAAACCCAAGATACTATAAACTTGCAACAAAAAATAGCAAATTGGAGGCTATTTTATTGCCTTACAAGTTTTCAGTAACCTTGAAAGTTCAAGGCCATAAACATTGACCTGGGTAAAAAAAATTAACAATCCTGATAATGTCAAGTTTTAAAAAGAAATTTATCAAGAAAAAGTATTTTCGAAAATTAGTAACAAATTAGTATGGGAGTAGTAAAAATAGCATCGCCAAAAAGAGCACCGTAGCATATTCAACTAAACATTGTGTCACTGAAAAGTGTCTGATGTATAGTTTTAGGTGGCAAAGTCTCTGACAACCTTAATCCAAGGAACGGCAACCAGCAACAGAAAAAAATGTTTACTAAACGTTAAACTTATCAACAAGATGTGGTTGGAAGCGGGTGCCTTAAAATGGAAGAGCCTGGAACGCAAAAAGCAGCATTGCCTTCGAAAGAGAAATTTCGTGAGTTTACAAATTCCTGAAGATGACCGAGGAGAACATGTCCCCGCTCGTTTACCTGACACTCTTTCGTCTCTACCCAAAGAGCGGCTGTCTACTCCAGGTTTTTGGGACGGCTGTTCCCTCTCTTTATTCAGTTCTTCTGCCCATTTATCAAATGTCTGTTTCGCAGCAAATTTTACGCGACGATCATCATGAGGACCAAGTTCAAGACACCATTCTCCGTCATCCAACCAATGCCAGTGGCTTGCAGCCTTCAGTTCTGCCTGGAAATTAAAGTTTTGGGGGCTTTCTGGATAGTTGTCATTCAAGTAGACATTAATGGCGTGCACCAGCATACTAAAGCTTATCAGTGACATTCCTCCTTGGCATCGAAACGGTTCTGATTTAACCCAGGGTAAAGAGCTCAATTGGTCAATAATTATTTTTCTTGTTTCTTGTCCTCTTGAGCGTGTGGAACTCTTGGCAGCCTGTGATTACAAAGCACAGAAGGTTTTTTGTATACTGTACATCCAGGTTTCAATTTAACACCCAAAAAGTCTACACCTTATTAAGACGAGGAGAAGGTTCCAATCAAGAGAGAATAAAGGTCCTTCGTCCTCTCTTGGTTTCAATCCTAGTCTTTTCCAGACTTTAAGTCAAATAACTGCTCATAGATTTTTTTTTTCTACTACAGGAATGAAGAATTATAATTTAATACTTTGAAGAAAACGAAGCAGTTTCTTTCTTATGTTTTATCAGAACAGCGCCAAGGAACTAAAATTAACGTGCATGTCCACTGAAGGTAAAACTAATGCAATTTCCAGGAAAGCAAAAAGCCATGTTGACATTTATGACCCAATTCAGTTTGTAAGAGCAACGGTTTCGAGCAACTGTGGAAACGCGAGAAAAAAAAATCACGTTCTCTGAAACTTTTATGTACACCATATAATATAACCCATATCAGTTGATTCCTGGTAAAAAACAAATTAGGAGCCAAGTTGAATTCACTGGAAAAACAAACTCCTCGCCTGACAGTTACGACCAGTTGCAAAAGTACTTGAGACATTGTACTGTTATTTGCCTTGAATGGCCTCTCCACTCTTGCGCTTTTGATCCCCCCTCCGCCCCTTAACAAAGTTGCTAGCAATACAAGACCATGCTCAACACTTGGAGGAACAAATTTGAATGGAAGGGAGGGGGGAGGTCAGTATTATATATCACAAACCTGTGACCAGCAGCGATTTGAAGGAAGAAAGATCGTTTTTTCGTCCGACTGTCTCAACAACATTTTTGCAACTGGTTGTAGCTCCATAAGCCACTTCTTTATTAGAGAACGTCATGGATACTTTGCATCTAACTGAACTTAACACAGTTACTTTTCAACTACCTCGTTTAATTGAATCACGCAAACTCCCGAAACTTCGGATGATCTTCGACGACTAAGTTATCTGAGTTAGTAATCTCAGTTTGCCATAAAAAAACATCCGGTTTTGTTCCAGTTGTTTGTCGTCTTTCTTGGTAGTAGTCTGGGTGAAGCGGATAGTACAATTTCCGATTCGTGACTAGCCATACTGGAAACAAGATAAAATTAATAATACCTCCTTGGAGTTTCAAGGGGCAGAGTGGCAAAGAGGTTTTCCGTAACGTGTGATGGGACCCAAATTATCAGCGCGATGGGTGATCGGGCCCAAATTAGTCGCGTTGAGGCGTGATTGGGAAAGTAGCGTGATGCGTGACTAACTATTTTCACAATGCGTGACGCATAACTTCCCTTGGAAATTTCCGTGATGGTTAATATCGTTTTGAACTAGAAGCAGAGACATAAAAATAGATAGTTATGACACCAACTTCTTGCCCTTTTTTCTCGTTCCTCGACCTCTGATTTCCTCAGATCAAATGATGATATTTTACTTTATTTTTCTGTGATACGTGATAAAATCGGCGTGATGCATGACAGGTACTCCCCTTTGCCACCCTGAAGGGAGAGGGGAGATTAAGTCGCTCGTGAAATTATCTGGTTAAGGGAAGCAGTTAAGTATAGACGTGTGCCGTCGAGGCCCTCATACCCTGACCCTGTTTAAGGTAAAACTTCAGCTCATTTCGCTACCCTGCTTGAGAAAAGAGACTTTATTTTATGACCCAAATTCGTTTAGTTTTGCATAGAGAATAGCCTAAGATCATAGAATTAGATTTTTTGGAAAAAATGCTGTTCCAACAAATGCGGTCCACTCATCTTACGTATACGTATAATTGGGAAATAAAGAAGAAGCATGGATGTTACGTATGATGATGACGTATGATGTTACTAAGAGCTGCACATATGACATAAAGACGCAGAGAAAAGAATGGAAAAGACAGCAGGTTCAACCCTTACCATATATGTTTTGTCACTAAAGACTAACCATAAAAACTGAGAGAAAAAAAAAGTTATTTTTGGCAAATGACTTATGACGGCATGGGAAATAAACTAGAAAGGACCATGAACGGGCGGGAAATTTAAGTTTATAGTTTAATTCAGGGTGTAGGAATCAGGATTTGAGCCAGGCCGCGCCATTGCGCCAATCCCGCACTGCAATTGGGATTGTCCCTTTAAAAAACGGCCAAGGGGACAATTTGTCCCCTTCAGCATTTAGGGAAAAAACTCGAAAAGAAGCACACACGAAGAGATTTATTTCGGTACAGACGTTGCAAGCTGAAACAGAACGTGGAAAGTATATTTTATCGCACCTTTAAAGTTCATTCCAAAGTTACGTTTCAGTCACGCTCTACTGCTATTATTGTCGGAAATCTAAAACAGGGCTTCTGATTTTTCGCGCGGTCGCGGAGCCGCGGAATTCACAAAAACACGAAAAATACCGCGAAATTTGGTAGAAATCTTATCAAATACATGTCTGTACAACATTATTTGAAATTTATTTCAGCTATAGGGGATATTTACTTGCCGTAAACTTGCAAATTTATCTTGGAACTTCGTCACTGAAACCTGCAAACAGATTAGGTTGCGAAAAACTGGGCACTAGCCATCATGTTAAAGGCTTTGCAATTGGTTCATTTCTGGAGCGTATTGTTGTTGAAAGAGCAAATGATGACCTCTGTTAGAAAAACGTTAAAAAGGCTGGTCTGATCAGCGCAAAACCGATCGATTTCTAGCGAAATTTGCCTTGAAAATAACCACAAAATGGGCCGTTTTTTACCGATTGCTTTTCGGTGAAGTTTGCCCCGAAAACTCCCGCGAAATTTGACTTTTTCGTCCGAGACCTATCAGAAGCCCTGCTAAGAAGGAAGGGTGTACAAATTTCCCCCTAAAAATGAAAATGTCCCCCAAAATTTTAGCCAAGGGGACAAATTGTCCCCCAGTGATCAAATCCTAGCTCAAACCCTGAGGAATGGATGAAGTTCATAGATATAATGACAAAACTTCAGTAAAGTAGATGGTTTTTTACAAAATACTTACTTACCCTCATCTCTGTTTACGTCGTCGTCAAATATTGGACCCTTTTTTGATCCAGCACGATAAACAAGCCTCCCATTTCTATCAGATGACATCGCGTAGCTGTAACTCGTGACTTTAAGAAAACAAGTATTTCGCAATTAGTGATATATAGATTTGGCTAAAAGCGAAGCTCTCGTTAATAAATTACATATAATTTCCTCAAACAAAAAAAAGGTCACGTAACGCTAATCAGCGACGGCATCAAGAACGGCAAAAAAAGTTAAGTGGTCTAATTAGCAAACAAACATTTTTTTACGCGCAGCACACTTTTTGCGTGGTACATTTCATTGCCATTTCTTGCTGCACGACTACAACGTGAAACTTTCTAGTTACACGTTTTATGGAGGAAATGTCGTATGTGCTCACAAAAACATTTTTTGCTTGGGTTCATGTTCCCTTTTTTTTCACTACCGCTCATTTCCAACTTGCCTGCCGCTGGTATTTCTCATTTTCTACCCGCGGCTATAAAATTTCCAGGTTGTTTTTCAACGTACAAATTCATTTTCCTTTTTTCTCTCGCTCGCTTTCGCATAATGTATGAATGAATGTCGTTCATAAGAGGCAACAAGACGCGCTACCTTTACATTAGGCTCGATTTCCGCCGTCTCCCGGGTCCGGTCTTTGATGCTCGGGATGACCCTCGGGGGATGAGTGCGGGCTCATTTCCAGAACAGCGGCTGGTAATCGAGCCTACCTTTACATCTTAACAGTAAGCTCGGACTTAGCATACAAGGCGTCACTGGCAGCGGCTATCAGTCTATTTATGAGCCTACTGTAACCCACATGAGGAGCTGGAGAGCACTTATCGCATTAGCCTTGTGATTGACTGTTGTTATGCAAAAATGTGTCATCACCCGGTAAATTTGTCAAGAGCAAGAAGTCAATTTTAGTCTCCTTTTTGCAGTGTGGGTTTTGGCGAGGGCCGAGGGAAGGGTTCATAAATTTCGGCGATTTACTTATTTTCATTCATTTTTTATATTACTTATTAATCATCTTTTAGTCTCGCTTGCGTAATTAGCGTTTTTCGCCCCACCCCCCGGGGGGGGGGGAGTAGTCCCTTATATAGGCTATATAGGTATATGCCGCGCCAATTGAGCCGTTTTGATCTGAAGTAGGGTATCAATTTCGACCATTTTGGTCTGAAATAGGGTATGGTTTGTGCACTGTAGTCTTCAACTGGGTATGTTTTATAGGAGAATTAGCTACTTCTTCATCATTTGTCGATAAGACCATTTCCCTTTAAATGTTTACGCCAACTACCGTGTACGTGCCGTAACAGCTTGTCACGCATGGGGCTCCAGGGCTTCAGGTCTGAAATATGGTATCAAATTTTTGATCAGGTATGAAATAGGGTAGGGAAAATCACAGATTTTGGTCTGATATAGGGTAAGGGTTTCAGGAAGCGTGCCGCACAACCCCTCCCAATTTTTCTAGAAGTAACTTCCTCCCGGAATTTTTGGTCGTTTTTTGGGACACAAAGGCAGGTCATTGTGCTAGGCGTTCCTTGCCGACAACGTGGAAATGGGACTAAGATTCGTTGCGTGATCGAGGCCACGCATGTTCTGCGAAGAAAGCTTGGGAAAGATTACATTTAGAGCTTTTCCGAAACGTGCCGGTCCACGAATTCTATCGCTTGAAAGCGTTGATTACTTTGGAGCAAGTGAACACTACTGAGTGGTCGGAAAAAAAAAAATAAGAATCTTAATTAGCAAAATTGCGAGGGTCGGGAGTTGTAAACTTTCACTGTATGCAAATGAGTCTTGTGATGAGCATGCGATTTATTTTCGGCGATGATTGAAATGACGTGCCATGTGAATCACTTTTTCGATCTCTGGCAATGATGTAATTTCTCTGGAAACGAGGCCCTTGAATTCTCGTGTATTTATGCACGCGCATAACCTGCGACTGCAGAGGTATTTTTCGTCGTCGCTAACACGCGTACTAAATCAATTCAGAAACAAATAAAAAGTATCGACGTCGATAAAGTAGGAAGTAAAAACCCTTTGGCCAGTAAATCATGTTTCTTGTAGAATTAACCGCCGCCTCATTTTTCGATCTAATCTCCGAGCAGGCGAGACCAAAATGCCGCTGTAAGCGCGTTCTTGTTCAATATATTTTTTGTATCTTTTGTTCACAAGATTCCCGCCTTTCTCGATTTGACCGAAATGTCCGAATGTTTCCTCTCTTTAGCCTACCTAAAATATGTTCACTAAAACGAGGTTTCGTAATATCGAGATACTTCTAAAACTGTTTTTATGTTACATACTTGAACTACAACTATTTTTTCTCACTTGCCCCAGCCCACCACGGCAGCCAAAATTTTTTAGAACAATTTATTTTTTAAAACTAAAAAAGCGAACTAACTTGGAAACGAGCGCGGAGTGCGCCCCCACCCCTACCCCCTTGCGCTGGCGGTCAATAAATCCCCCGCGGTTTTTATCACTCGCCTTCGACGGACTTTGAAGAGAAAATAGAGGGTCTGCGAACAGGCTACTGTCCCCAAGTAAATCGAGTGTCACTTCAAACCCTAAATTCTCTAGTTTCTTTTCCATATTTATATGCTCCAATATGCATAAAACTGTGGAAGTCCCACAGCTCGAGAATTTCAATGAAGCTGAATGTTTGCCAGATCTTCCCATCATTGACTGGAACCGCGTTACAACGCACAATAACCCAAATGAAATGTGGGACTTTTGGAAACACCTGTTAGCGAATGTTATTGATAAGCATGAACCATTCAGAACAAAAAGGGTTAAAAACAAACCGTCTCCCTGGATTACTAATATATAAAAGAG